GCGCAAACAACAGAGCGCAAAGATGGAGAATGGAACTCGTTGTCCACAGCAGCACCATCAACTCCTGCACAAGAGCAATTTTGTGAAGATTGGCGTCGCCACTACGGTCAGCCCCAATGAAGCAATTCTTCCCGTCTTATCTGCTAACATCGGTAGCGTCAACGGTCTCTTTAAATGCGGAAACGTACTTCTTGACTCGGGCGCGCAAGTAAGCCTTATCTGACGGGACACCGCTGACACTCTCGGTTTAAAGGGAAAAGATGTGTCCATAACGATTACTAAAGTTGGTGGCGAGGAAGAAACAATTAAGACAAAGGAATACAATGTTCAGCTAACCTGTATTGACAACAACAGGCGTTTTAACGTTAAAGCAATCGGCATCCACAGCATCAGTGACGAGATTCGGGCAGTAAAAACCTCGCATTTACTGGAAGTTCTTGGCTTACCAAACACAAGATTTCGCCGTAGAAAAGGGCACGTTGACCTGTTGATTGGCATTGATCACGCACGCATGCATGCTGGTGAGACAAGACAAGTGGACCACCTGCTAGCTCGCAAGTCTCCACTTGGGAGGGTAGTTTTTGGAGGAAACCCAGAGCAGATCAGTGACATAAACAGCATATTACTTATCAAGTACTCCTCACCAATAGACCTGACAAGCTTCTGGACAACGGAAACTATGGGCGTGGCCGTGAAACCCTATGTCTGCGATTCAGACAAACTGACTCAAGCAGAAAGAGAAGAAGCCAAGTTCATAGAGGAGTCGTGTTTCAAAGTCGAAAACCAGTGGATGATCCCCTACCCTTGGAGAAAAGACCCTAACCTACTGCCAGACAACAAAGAATTGGTTATGAAACGCATAGAATCAACAGCACGACGCCTGAAAAGAAATCCTGAACAAGCAGAAGCCTACTGTAAACAGATGGAGGAAATGGAAATAATGAAATTTGCGCGAAAGCTGTCAAAAGAAGAACAAGATGAGTATCATGGCCCCGTTCATTACATTCCCCATCACGCTATACTGAGGCCAGACAAGAAGAGCACACCTGTTCGAATTGTTTTCAATTCATCCTCTGCATTCCAAGGGCATACGTTGAACGATTACTGGATAAAGGGTCCCGACCTTTTAAACGGCATGTTTGGAGTTGTCCTAAGATTTCGAGAGAGAGAAGTTGCCGTAGTAGGAGACATCTCTAAGATGTATCATCGGGTCCTTATTCCTGAACGAGATCAACATGTACACCGCTTTCTGTTGAGAAACATGGAGACAGAAAGAGAACCTGACATTTTTGTCAAAACAGTTCTGACATTTGGGGACAAGCCTGCACCCGCCATGGCGCAAATAGCCCTAAAAAAAACAGCGCAAGAGAAAAACGCAGACTACCCAGCAGCGGCCGAAGTGCTATCGAACAACACGTACATGGACGACATCTGGGAGTCTGTAGACACAGAAAAGGAAGCTAAAAAATTAGCCGTCAGATGCAGATAGTAACCGCAGTCACAGCATAAAAAGCTAGCAATGGTATTGATCCATCCAAGTTCTCAAGCTGGAGAAGACTGATGCGTGTGACGGTGCAAATACGTAGACTAGCAGAAAAGATACGGCTGAGAAAATACGACCAAAACGGAAATGAAGGCCAATGACCCCTGAAGAGCTTCAGCAAGCAGAAATGTATTGGATAAAGCAAGCACAGACAACACTGTACAGTCGACTGGATAGAGAGGAATTCAAATCTCTCAGCCCGTTCAAAGATGAAAATGGAGTTATCAGAGTTGGAGGAAGAGTGGATGAAGCTGTCGTGTCCTATGAAACGAGGCACCCTTCCCTTCTTCCAAGTGACCACTGGATTTCCCTCCTGGTAACAAGAGAAGCTCATCAGTACGGACACTCCGGCGTAGCAGCCACCACAGGCAAGACGCGAAGGAAGTTTTGGATCTTGAAAGCGAACAGGCTAAGCAAGAGTGTGATATTTAAGTGCGGATTTTGCCGCGAAATGGCACATAAGGCTGAGACGCAGCAAATGGCAGACCTTCCTGTTCTCCGTTTAGCACCACACACACCGCCATTTTACTACACCGCATGTGATTACTTTGGTCCCTATAACGTCAAAATAGGGAGAAGCAAGACGACTAAGCACTATGGCGTTATCTTCACGTACCTAAACACCCGGGCTGTCCATCTAGAGTTAGCGATTGACCTAACTACAATTGAGTTCACCCAAGTTCTTCGTAGATTCTTTTCAATCCGAGGATACCCAGCAGGGATACTAAGTGATAACGGAACACAAATGATTGGAGCTGCTGACGAACTGAAAGAGATGGTGAAAAATCTAGATGACGATCAGTTACGCGAGTTTTGCGGAGAAAAGAGCATTAAGTGGATCTTCACAAAGCCAGCTGCGCCACGTCAAAACGGCTGTGCAGAAGCCCTTATCAAGAGCTGCAAGAGATCATTGAAGATTGCAATCGGCGACCAACTTCTGACGCCTTTCGATTTGTACACCTGCCTCCTAGAGATCGCAAACCTTTTGAATCAACGTCCCATAGGGCGCATCCCCAATGATCCAGACGACTGAGCGTACCTGTCTCCGAACGGCATGCTCCTTGGAAGAGCAACTCAGGAGGTACCACAAGGTCCATTTAAAGATACCGGAAATCCCCGTAAGCGAGTAGAGTTCGTGCAAAGAATAGTTTATTCAATCTGGAGACGCTGGACTAGGGATGTCTTCCCCACCCTGGTACCAAGAAAGAAGTGGCATGTTGAGAACTGCAATGTCAAGGTTGATGACATAGTTACGGTAGCCGATAATAATGCTGTGAGAGGCAAGTGGGCTGTTGGCAGAGTAACCAAAGTATACCCTGGAACTGACGGACGCGTTCGAAACGTTACAGTGAAGACATCCACCGGAAAATACAGTCGTCCAGTGACAAAAATTGCAGTAATCCACCCTCCTGAAGGCGACGACTAAACGAACATTTGCTGTGATAAGGACTGCGCCCTTATTGGGGTGGAGAGTGTTTCGTCAATACAATGAATTATTAACTTGATTTCCTGATTGACTTTGATTGACACTAAGTTACGCAATTACGCCACGTGATTAAGTCTGCTTTCAGTTCAGATGTGTTAAATTCGAAGTGACGTTCATGTTTTGCTGACCTTTCGCGCTGACCCGTATTCTGTTAGACCCTAATATTTTATATCTCTTGCTGACCTGTATACCGTGAAACAATCCTTCGAGACATCGCCAAAGAAGTAAGCTATCACTGCTGTAATTCTAGCTAATAGTTTGACTCGTGTGTTTATGTATCGATAGATCCTGTTCAGTTTCTCAAATGTATTTCATTTCTTTCTCTAGATCGAATAATAATATACTGGAATAAATTATACGATTTGCGTAAGCTAGTTGGAATGCCTGTTTGGTTTATTGGACCATATACCACAAGCCCTCAATACACGAAACACCTGACAAGTTCTTGATCGATTTCCACCACTCCCCAACATGCGTGCTCTTGAGACTTTTAACTTTGTTTTTTAGAGAAGGCCTTTTTACTGTGCTGAATAAGCCGCTGAACATTATCCCGCCAAAGCTTAAACAGAAAGGAGTCTTTCCCATGCTGGGCTAAATATTTCTGCCGTTTCTTGATCGCAATCTTGATCGCGTTGGTTATCCAAGGTTTATCTGTTTGATGGACCTTAAATGTTTTAAGCGGGAGGATACAGTCAACAGCATTCGTAAGAGTTTGATGGAAAAACTCAAATTTATCAGCACACGATCTTAAAGAGAAAAGGCTGTCCCAGGAAAATGACGTAAGCCACTGGCCAAACTCTCTCATACGACTATCACGCGTGTGGCGGCGAGTTAGTGGTCTTTTAGCCAGGGTGGTCTTAAAGACACGCGAGTGAATATGCACACAGAAATGGTCGCTGGATTCAAGTTTCGGAAGCTGTTGGGGAACTGGTAATAGCTTGGGCTGATTAGTTAGGCACCAGTCTGGGGTGCCTGTGTCTCGCGTGAAAACTGATACTATTTGTGAAAGCCCACACGTGCGCTTAATATAGATGTCCGAAACATTGGTCGAGTTCGGGTTAAAGTCTCCTGAGATTATGACCATACATTCCGGGTGGTCCCAAAGGGGACATTGAGCAACAAATTGATATAAAACCGATCTAAACCATAAAAAGTCGTTTCACTTCGAAGGATTTTATTAAAACTGGTTTTATCAAAACTGATTTTATTAAAACTAAGGATATACAATAAAATGACAATAAAACAACACTTGCACTACGCCCACGAAATCTGGACAGCGGCTATCTATCAAACGGGCGCTTAAATCCAGCGGTTATTCGCTGCAACATAGAGCCTGCCGCCGGCCATCTTGGTATTTGCTGAGAGTCATTATCATGGCATCGCAATCAGATGAAATTTCAGACGAGGAAAATGGAAATAGTTCAGACATTGACCCTATCGAGGTTGCCATAGACGCTGGGGCAACTCTTAGTAAACAATATCATGGTGTACATGATATGATGTATATATAGTTAACATTATGATGCCCATCCAAGTCAACTTTGCAAGGTTGACTAGTTAGAAACTTTGACTAGAAAATACGTATCTATTATTGAAGTTATGTTGAGTTTAAAGAGTATACTGATTACAACATAGTTTTTAAATTTGTGATATAACAATGGTTTTTGGCCTCTTTTAATGATTGTAAGAATATTTAATGAAAATGTTTAAATGGCAACAAACAAACAAACACGTTTTGAGTATTTATCAAAAACAAAATGACACTAGAGAGCAAGCAACTTTTCTAAATTTTGGTGGCAACTTTTTGATATTTGAGCAACTTTAGAGCAACTTTTAGGTAAATTGTAAAGCAAATTTTCCTGAATTTACTGGCACAATCTATTCATGCCTACTGCCTGGTGCTCTCGTGAACACGTTCTTAATATTTCGACATGTTGTCAAATATGCAAACACGATTAGCCAGCAACTTACCCTATCAACGGCATTGACATTTGCACCGTGTTGTAACAAGAGTTTTACAACAGCTCTCTGTCCATACCATGCCGCAAGGTGAAGAGGCGTTAAACCAAACTGAAAAATAGAAGCAAAACATCGACTCCAAGTTCAATCGATCCGCTAAAAATACCTAAAAATATCCGGAAAAACCAGAAGATAAAGCAAACAACCTTATCCACTCGGTCAACATCTTCACCACTTTCAAGAAGTACTTTGATAACGTCACATCGACCGTTGATTGCAGCTTCGTGTAGATCCCTTCTTGATAACTGTAAGAATGGGATTGCCTTTTAGCATATGACTGATAAGAATATTGCGAGAAATTCAATAGGTACAATACATGTACCTTAGATAAACATGTACAGTTATTCATTAAAAATTTCAGAAGGCTTTTTTCCTTTAACTTAGGACAAATACAAATGTGCAGAGTATGAATCAGTTGTGAAGAACTTGAGGAGTAACAAGTGCACCCTCTGCTCTGAGCAAACACAATGCAAACAAACTTACAAACCAAAAAAATAAATAACTATTTAAATCTACATAAAATAAAGCATTAAAGCATTTTTGAGGTGGCCCAAAATGGTCTCAATGTTTTGATGGAAACGACAATAAAATGTCTGACGACATTTTTACTCCAATAGTCACTTGTGAAATGGAGCGAAATACAAAACCCGCTAAGCAATCTCTTAGTCTTCTTTTTATGGAGGGAAGCTGGAGAAACAAGGAATAAAGGCAGGGCATTTACGTTTTATATCCGCTTGATGATTTTTTTGTCATGAATTTCAATGAACTAATTTTGACATTTGAACCCATCCATTAGGAGGCGCACCTGTGTTGTATAACCATCATACTTTGGTTCCTTGGGACTTGGCGTCATATGATGTTTCTTTCCTAGTCAGGCTCAAATTTAGAATGACCTCATGCTCTCAATTAGTCTAATACAATTGTACAGACTGAAATAGGGTAGTCTCAAAAAGGAAGAGAGAAACAAAGTACGAACTACAAAGTTCTTCGGACAATAGTGTTAATGTTGACTCGAGAACTCTTAGCACTGAAAATACGTGCGATAAACTGGACCCGGCACCTGACGGCTGCTCCTACTTTTTGCGCATCCAAAGTATTCTGACATCTCTAACAAAGGACATCTGACATTTGTAGACTGAATGAAACTAGGATAACACGATTTTCCCTTCCAGTTTAACTCTAAAATGCTTGGTAGCTCACGACCTTTTCCACCATATAAGTTTTTAGCGAAAGTCGCAATTATAAAGAAAGAAAAATATCGATTTGTTCAAATATATCCAAATACTACAGCTTTCCTCATAATAACTAGGAAAAATAGCCTAAATAAGAAGGGTTAAAGTCCTTATCGGAAAATTGGAAGGCACACTCCCCTGTTTTGGTTAGCGAAACGCTTACACCCCCAACTAGCTACAGTATAGCCTAAAACCTCAATCGCACACGAAAAAAATGCTCATAGTACTTTGGCATTGGACTTACCTTGGCAGTTTGAGCTCTAAGCTCGCAGTTTGAGTCCGGATTCCTTCCCTAAATTAGAGAGGCCACAAGGTAATAAGTAAAATGTAACGTTATTAAAACAAGGCAGCAGGTATGGTACACTCTGTCTAAGGGGAGGCTACAGTAAGAAGGACTAGTACGGCATAATCCGTAGACCAATCGCGCTAGAGCAGAAACATTTGATGGATTTTAAGCATCAATGCTACCAGCATTTGAAAGCAATAACTATCATTAACAGACTGAGAACTTTAAAGCTTTCAGTAATCCTAAGGTTACCTTTATTTTTGTGTTGTGGGTATCTTTGGATTTTGAAGTGGCCTTTGTGGGTGAAACGCTTGATTCCGAAGGGTGGGCACTCCCACTACTCTCTTGATTAGCTCGGATTTCTTGGTCATTTTACGATGAACATGCGGGAAAGAAAGAGACAGAAAATTTTTCAAGCAGTCTTAAATAGTTTGCAGCTCGAGATGTTGTGTTCTTAGAAGTTAGTCACCGGCAAAATTAGGTGAGTTCACTCATGGAAAATTACTCTCATCACCGAATGATATATGTCACAATGTCTCTCGTTCCGGTTCTCTAAATGCAACCCAATGTAAAACAATAGAATAAAGGCATTCATCTTAAAATGACATTTTGGTCAGGAAACAAGAAAAAAATAATTCACAAGAAATAAGGGGGGGGGGGTTGGGATTTTGTCTCCTTCGCAGCCGTTGTTTAGTCTCGCCACGCAACGCGCTCTCCTCCACCAGGTCAAAGACGACTAAGGAAGTTGGGACGACAATCTAGTTTAAAAATCAGTCGAACACGAATTGAGCACTAGAGAAACAGTTTTCATCGTGTACGCACAGAAAATAATTTATCGTTGTAACAAAGCTTACCATGCAGCACACTTAGAGCAACATCGACTTTTGCAGACAAGAGGGATGAGTGCTTTTCCATGATTTTCTCTATCTCGTCTCTCGTAGGTTTATCATTTTGAAACTGTTCCATCAGGTCTTTCACGTCTTCATCAAGAATCAGTTGGAAACCTTATAATCATAAAACAGAATGTAGAGATGTTTAAATGAGTAAAGAAATACAATAAAATGAATTTGAAATATAAATAAATAGATCATGAATAATTAGATAAATAAAGGAATTAAAAGATAAGCGCGCTAATGAATGAATGAACAAATGAGGAAATGAATGGATAATTCATCGCTGGTAAGGATGCCCTGGGTCCCTAAACACGTCTCTACCATTCTAAGGTCCACTTGGGTTGGCCTAAAGTATTAATGTTCGAAATTCTTTTCAAAAGATTTGATAGAACTAACGTGTTATCCCTTGAATGGCTTTTATGATGCTACTAAATGTATTTGTATTACCTTTAGTTTTCCATTCAGACAATTGATCCAAAAGCTCCTTCTTTCTGGCGGCATTTACAGGCAGACATTTGAGTAGGATCTCAATCTTGTCAAAACATTGATCAAACACGATTTGAGTCCAGTGGCTCTCATCAAAATGGCTCGCCGGATTCCTAACATTCTCTCTGACATCATCCGCCAATGACTGGATATTATACAAATAATCGGAAGAAACAAATATTTGGGTGGGGTAGTTTCTATATTCCAAAAGTCTAAGGGCGGCAGACAAATCCATGGATTTGTCAAATGCCGAGAACTTTGCAAGATAGTTTGGAAGGTAAAGCTTGGCAAGATCAACTGAGCTGTTGACGGTGTAGTAGTAGGCCGCTTTGTTTTTTCCATGGAGATCAGAATTGTTGTTTATGTTACCAAAATTTAAGTCTTTAGACGCAGAAGCTGCACTTGGAGTGGCTGGCAAATGGCATAAATCGGCGTTGGTCAGTGTTTTTAGACTACATGGTGTCGGTAGGCCATTAAAGTGGTTATCTAAGAATTTGTATAGGTTGTCCATTCCTTGTTTTACGATATCCCGTAAAACGAGGGCCAGGACCTTGTTCGAGGCAGCAAGAACCACCAGCCATCTTTTGTCGTTACCAAGGACAGCCATAGTGACAAATTTTTCGACTCAACTAAATGAACACAAGGTAGGACCTGTAACGAACATAGCCATGACAAAGTTAAAGAAACAGGGATGATGAAGGTGCTGTAGATTACGGTCTAAAGAGATGATCGCAGACAATTTCTATAATTTAGAGAAAAGAGATTTGTCAGTACTTTAAGAGAGATATTCCAGAGCTGTATTCCCCTTTTCAGAATCGAAATACAATTATTATGACTGAGTCAGGATTCCATCCAACGTTAGCAGCAGTTTCACTCTGTAAAGGAACTTCAGGACGATTTTGACTAAGGGACGAAAAAACCATGCACAACACAAACATAAAAACGTTCGCTAAAAACGTAAGTTTTTCATAATCAACGAGTGCGTTTGTATGAAAGGCATAAAGATATACAAGCTGAATTTTTATTTCTTTTGATTGACTGAGAAGTAAAAGAAGCAGTAAAAAAAGGGATAATGACTTAAAAAATAAATAAATAAATAAAAAATCAAAGAAAAACTTCCTGCTTGCATGTTTTCTCAGTTGCTCGACGAATGAGAGTAAAATTTTGAAAAAGTAAGCTAAAGAAAGCTTAGTGAATTTTGGCTTGTTTTCATCGTCATAATACCTTTTTTGATTGATAAACGACATCAACTAGCCTCTGGAAACTGCTGACCGAGCAAGTTAACTAATGTTGTTTTCATGAAACTGTGATTTTACACAGTGGATTATGAATTGTGAAATCAAAGCTATTTTACAGGTAATGCCCATATGAAGACTGTTCTTGTAAATTAATTGTTCAAAATCGGCTCACCGTATGTAGGATTGAGTTGTCACGGTATAGCGTGACGAGCTCTAATACAACGAAGCCCATCGATGACGTATAAAGAAATACCAGATAATTTCTCTCTTGAAAGGAAAAGTTAGCCTTTATTATTATAATTAAATTTGCTACTCTCGTCACCATTTAGTCGCTTAGTACTCTATATCATTTGCAGTTTTCGCTTCAGTGTTTGAGTGAACAAAGACTTACTGTTCTGGAAACGCTCCAGAAAAAAATGCTCATCTTTCCGGAGTGTCATGGAAGTGTTAGGAATTTATTTATTATATGTAAATTATTTTTTTTTTATTCTCTTAGGATCAGTGTAGTTCGTGATTATTTGTATCTGTTACGTAATTTTTATTCTTCACTTGTGTAAACTGTTGTGTAATTAACCTTTATTGTGTATATCAAATAGTTTTCTTCATTCTTTTCGGGCACCTTGCGTCCATGTGTATTTAAGGATTTGGGTGTTTGGTACGGGGTGGTTTTTTTTTTGAAGAAGTGAGGTGAAGGTTTGAGAGTTACGAGCGAAGAGCGTGGGAAAATTTGAGTCAACGGAGACTCGGCACAGTATCATTTCTGAGAAATTCATTCAGAACAATCGTTCCATTTCACGGTAAAAAACCATTTGCGGGGAACGGGTGTGCAAAGAATCTACCAGACTGTGAGCTAAAGGAAGAAGAGATAGTAACTAATTCAATAACAAGTCTGAGCGAGTCAAGTTACGAGAAGTAAAAAGTTGAAAACTGCAAAGTTGTCAGAAGACGAAGCAAAGTTGAAACGAAGGAAACGAGCAAAGTTGAGAACTGGTGAGACAGGAACCTGGTTGGAGAAACGGGAGTTTGGTTTGGCAGGGCACTGTTTGTTGGTGGAGCGTGGTGATTTGTGGACAAGAGAAGAACACGGACGCGGGCGTAAGGTGAAACCCAACCGAACTGAACTAAAAAAAAAAAAACCTTTTTTTTATCTTAATAGTAATAATCTTGTAAATAGTTTTAGTGTACTGTAGTTTAAGTTAGCGTATTCCTGTAAATTAATTAGATCATTGTATTATCGTTATTGTTAGTCGCTTTATTGTTTTAATTAGCATAATAAATATCTCTAGGCCTACGTTTAGTTGTATTGTGGCGTGTGTTCTCGGACTCGTTTATGTTCTGTGTTTTGTTTGTGTTAGGGGGCACCGAATCGTTCCATTTCACGGTAGAAAACCATTTGCGGGGGAACGGGTGTGCAAAGAATCTACCAGACTGTGAGCTAAAGGAAGAAGAGATAGTAACTAATTCAATAACAAGTCTGAGCGAGTCAAGTTACGAGAAGTAAAAAGTTGAAAACTGCAAAGTTGTCAGAAGACGAAGCAAAGTTGAAACGAAGGAAACGAGCAAAGTTGAGAACTGGTGAGACAGGAACCTGGTTGGAGAAACGGGAGTTTGGTTTGGCAGGGCACTGTTTGTTGGTGGAGCGTGGTGATTTGTGGACAAGAGAAGAACACGGACGCGGGCGTAAGGTGAAACCCAACCGAACTGAACTAAAAAAAAAAAAACCTTTTTTTTATCTTAATAGTAATAATCTTGTAAATAGTTTTAGTGTACTGTAGTTTAAGTTAGCGTATTCCTGTAAATTAATTAGATCATTGTATTATCGTTATTGTTAGTCGCTTTATTGTTTTAATTAGCATAATAAATATCTCTAGGCCTACGTTTAGTTGTATTGTGGCGTGTGTTCTCGGACTCGTTTATGTTCTGTGTTTTGTTTGTGTTAGGGGGCACCCACCTTTGTGGCGCGGATTCGTCACACGGAGTCATTATTTTGAACACAAGTTGCAGCTCCAGACAAATCAATGAGAAGCAAACTGTTCCACACCGAACAAATAGTCAGCGGATTAGGAACAATTCCTCATGTTTAGAGCAACTGCCGAGCAAAAGAGCCCTTTGAATCTTTTGACTCTTTCTGGAGCGACATGAAACCAAATACACTTCACACAGGAAATCATATCTCGCGAGCACTTTTCAATCACGCAAATAAGCCAAAAGTAACAAACTTTGCTGCAACTAAGCACACACAAATCGCAATGGTGCTGGAGGTTCCAAAATATAATGTATTCCAGTCTCGCTTTATTCGATGTTACTGTAGTGACGTTTTATTTTTAGTCGTCTACTAAACGTACAAGCATGAGATGGGTTGGACCTCACGACCTGGTTGAGCGCAAATACTTTTGCTTCTTAAGTCATCTAGATCTCCACCTTTATCGCTTATTCCTTTAATTGTCATCCCAAACAAAAATTGAAAAATTCAGGCTGCACAGAATCTCAGAAAAAAACAGGTTATTTCGTTGTTGGAATGTTAAACAGTTTAGAAACGAGTAAGATGATACTTCTTTGCAGAAGCTATCACCAAAACAGAAATCGAAATTGACATTTGCCTTCGTTGAGTTATAAAAGATACAGTCAGCTAAATGCCAACGAAAATATTTTATTCCCTCCGAAATCACCCTTAACAAAAACGGGGACTTAAACTTAAGGTGGAACTGATTAGCTACGATATCAAGTAACTTATTAATACTATTGACGAAGCTTCAATCCAATGAAAAGGAAATCAAAACTGATATTTCCTTTCGCTCGACATAAAATTTCTCTAAAAAATTTTGTTCGTGTTTGTCTCACCTTTCTTCCTCAATTGTCATTCACCCATCGCCCTCACTTAGCCTCTATCAGTTTTAACGTGCTGGAGCAAGTTTTTAAAGAGATTGGAGATGTATGTTCACATCACGACCGAGTCTGCTGTGCATTCGAGTTCAATTATAATGACTGGAAAAAGTAAAAAGAAAAACAGGCCTTACTTCCACACGAAGCAGTCAGCTTTTGAACCTCGTGGGTTTTGCTTTCACTCGGTAGCTCGATGGGAGTATCATAACGTGTAACTATAACTTACATACGCTGCCGTGTTGAAGTCCTAAATGTAATAACTTTCCCAAATGTAATAAAGTCCTAAATGTAATAACATTTGGTCCTAAATGTAATAAGCCTCTAATGCAATCGTTCGACTGCGCTAATGCATTGTTGTTAAAGCGGACATCCACATTAAGGTGTTAAAGTGACAGCTTTTGTACCAAAAAATCCTCTGACCAGTATTCATGTCACATTGCGGGCTCGCTGATATCAACCAGCATCTTCTTACTTACTATTCGCAAGTCGAGTAGCATTGGCTAGAGACCGTTATACTGACAGCATCTTATGACAGCTGGCAAAACAATGAGTACGCTGACCTATACCTCCATGTATCACTGGCTCAGACTCTTTAGTAAAATAGACTTCGGAAAAATGTGATAACACAGTGATGGAGGTAAGAGTCATAAACCAAATCAAGATCTTGGACAAGGAGGTCTGCAGACTCGTAGGTCGGACAGTTGCGGGCTTGGATATGAATTTTTTGTCTTTACTTTTTAGACCAGAACTTGTTAGCATGCACATTTTGTTTCCCAATTCGGACCTTGTGACAGCTCTCCAGAAAGGTATTGTTTTCAAATTGTCGAATATTTCGTGGTTATATGATTAGGAACGCGATGATTTTTCTCCCCAAGAGAAGATAATTGGGAACAATTGTGTTATCTTGATCTTGAAATGCATGTAACAATCCAACAAACGCGTAAATCTGCATCAAATTATATACTCGGTGACTTACATTTAACAGGTGTAAATAAAAAAAAAGCTGCTGACCAGCACATTCAAAATGCTTATCTATATCAAAGGTTGTTAATGATGTACCTATCCCAAAAAACTCACGCAAAAATTTGTGCTTCTCCTTTCTCTGAGATGTGAGTAAAAGTAATCGTGTGAGCAGTTTTTTAATGGTCTACTAATTTAATTAAAGATAAAAGGGAAACATGGCTCGCTCGACGCGCTGATCTCCTTAACGATCAAATATTAGATAAAAGAGCATAACCTGACTCTGAAACGGACTTTTCCTCTACTGAATTGGCACCATAAGAGTGACATTGCACGAAAAGAGCAGAACTTTTCCGTTTCAAATTACCTGGCAGTAACACAAAAGATTTGCCCATTAACGTTTTATCGACTGGTTTAACTGACTTTGAAAAGATTCTTGAGTTCTGCAAAAATTGATGGGTGATGATAAAAATAGTAATAAGTGCGAAAAACATTTCAAGAGCCTGTGAAATATTTCCGGAAGTTTTCTTTGAGATCTACATCGAATGTAGTACGCTAATACTTACTTTGATTTAACATAAGATTAAATATTTTAGCCGTTATGGTTTTAGCGTTACAAGCATTATTGCGGGATTGGTCTGTGGCACATAAAGATCGTCAAAACTCCGAAGGGAACAGGAAACTCTTTGCTTTAGCAGACGACGTCTATGAAGCTCTGCTCGACCTTGTTGAATACGTGTAGCTGCCGTGCGATACTGGAAAGCCGGCGAAAGGATATCAGTCAAAGAACTGAGACCATGGTGATAAGGCACTTTATTATCCAACTACACTTCGTAGAGTACAAATAACGCCATAGGCGAGTAGAAATATCACGCGGTATTTGCACTGTAGGGTACCGGTTAAACAGGTTTTCTCGCATCGCGGAAGCGAAGAATTGAATTGTAGTTAGGAAAAAAATTTTTAATGTAATAGAAAAATCCGAGCCCCAGATGGGACTTGAACCCACGACCCTCCGTGATCTAGTCGGATGCTCTAACCACTGAGCTACTGGAGACTCCATGGTGAGCAAGGGTTAATTTGTGGGCCTNTTTTATTACACGACTCGGGCAGTCAGAGGGCCAATAACTAAAATCAACCAATCAAAATGCTCTATTGCCGGTCAATATTCTCTCAGTATTGGACCGGGCACTGTCCCGAATGGTCCCGAATGATACCGCACTTGTGTCCCTTTGAACTTCAGTCGTATAATAAATCTCTTATTAACCAAGCTTGCTCGGGACCGTACTGGAAGAATATCGGCCCTCGGTCTTTTTTGTACGGACCTCGCTGCGCTCGGTCCGTACTGTCAAGACCTCGGGCCGATATTCTCCCAGTGCGGCCCTCGCGCTTGGTTAGTAAGATATATGTAATGAAATTCTTCCGACACTTATTAACGGTTGTTCGTTTGATTAAGAGATCCTGCTTCACAATGATTTTCAGAATACATAACACTGCTATTTTGCATGCAATTCCCATCTAGAGACTTCTGTAGTAAATGAAATGACTAGGATGTGACGAAAACAAAACAAAATGAAAAACTGCTTATGTTATTATGAGAGTTGTCACGGTATAGTGCGACGAGCTTGAGTAAAACGATTGCTCAATGAAATGCCACATAACGTTTCCCTTGGTGGTAAAATTCAGCATTATCTTCATCAAGATTTCCCACTCTTGTTTCCACCTACCCTCCCAGTGTTCCATTTTATTCACATTTTTCGCCTTATTGACGGTTTCGAGCGGGTGTTAGAGCAAACATGGAGTACTTCTTGAAACGATCCAAAAAATGTATAAATTATCTTTCCGGAGTCTTGACTTTGAACACGCGTTGCAGCTCCGGAGAAATTCCAATTCGAGCAAACAGAGTAACACCGAACTGTGAAAGAGTAGATCGGCAACAATTTCTCGTTCTAACATAAATTATTGGACAAAAAAGTTCCTGATTATTTTCTCGCGTTTTAAATGTTGCCGTGTTTAGAAGGGACTTTAAGCAAACCCCGACGGCTACGGCAACGAGAACATCGAAAAACAATAGATCTAATTGGCAGAACAATCGGGTATTAAAACTTTTTACATTTCTTAGCCGTTCTTTGCAAAACAACAACGTGAAATCATCAAAATTTGCGTCGTCTGCGAAGCGAAACCGCGGCGGCAAATTATTTTAATTTACATTTGGAACTCCACGTTACTTTTATGCGTTTATGTTAAGTTTGAGGTCTGGTGCCTATGAGACAGTAAACACATGCAGCCATTTTCGAAATTCTAACTAAAAGTAGAAACTCATTTTTTAATCGAAGTCTTCCGTGGCTTTGCCGTCCTGACTGCTTAAAGTCCCTCAACGTAAAATAGCGTGACTACTTAAGTTCACGCTTGAAAGCACATGTCGTGAGCACATTTCGATCATGCAAATAAGCCAAATTTTACAAACTTTGCAGCGACTAACACAAACGAATAAAGAGGTTCTTGGAGGTTCTAAAGTAGGAATGAGTTCAATGCCGATGCAGTGAAACCGGATGTTCTTTTGATATCAATCTAGCAAACTTCCGCCGCAACATTGGTGATTCGGTTGACAGTTTGATTGGAGCAAGTTGCAACCTCGTGATCAATTCGCTACTCATGTTTTGGTGCCGGGTTACAATTTTATTTGATGAGCGAATTGCGAATTTTGTGGCTTTTATGGCTTACGTAAATCATAATCGTACCACTCCGGTTGAAAAATGGGAACAAATAATTGCTTTATGGTCATCTGGCGTGAAACAGGCACAAATTGCCGAAGTTGTTGGATTAACGCCACAAACTGTATCGAACATTGTGACTAACTTTCTGCAGTGCGGAACGTATTTTCCCGGTAAACCTGGTTGGCAGGAACGAACAGTTTCTAGCCCTGATGTCGTAGAATTTGTAAAATATTGTAACCTAATAACCCTGGTACATACAATTCGGAAATCAGGGAAGCTCTTGTTGGAAGCGGAATATGTACGGTTGCCAATGTTCCATCTCGTTCTACTGAATCAGCGACATTTTGAGGAAGGACTTAAACTTCACTTACAAAAAACTTTCTGTCTGCCCTGAAGAGTCGCTCAGTGAGGAAAACCTCAGAAAAACACTAGACTACATCATCTTCATGGCTGGATTTGATCCATTAATATTAAGGGTTCATTTTTCCGATCATAGTCCTCTGTTAACTATGTTCCGATGAATCATCAGTGACAAAGACAACATCTAACAGAATTGTTCAAATTAATTTCATTACATTTAACATTGTTATTCTGAGTAAGAAATTTCACGAGAAACAGGAGCGTCTGCGTAGGCGACGGCTGAATCTTATCTAATTGTAAACAAACTTGAAGCTTTAATGAATTACGACATGTAACGCAAGTTAAAGGCCTTTCATTTCCTTACATTGAAATGACTTTGTGGTATCACACGCGTAACTAAAGGTCCCTCCAAACTCAAACATCTAATATCAAACATCAAATAAAGAATGTGTTCCTAACAGCGCTTGATTTTCCCGCAGTTGTTTCAAACTGTTGTTGCTGTCAGTACCACGAGGTGCGATTAAACCGAGCAAGTTGCTCGCGCAGGTTGCAACTTGCTCGCGCGGGTTGCAACTTGCCCCACTCAAACTGTCAATCAAATTACCAATGTTGCGGCGGTGGTTTGCAAGGTTGATATCAAAAGAACTTCCAGTTTCACTGTAATGTTCAGTTATCTTCTCAAAGTACAAAGATAAATCGCGAAATAGATTTGTACAAACCCTTCTGCTTTTCCAGTTCATTTAGATGTCAACTCTGGTTGGTTATTCCCTTTAAAATCATCCAACACAAGAACAGAGCTCAAAAATTTAAGGTGGCACTAATATGTAACGATTGAGTTTCGCTCAGGTGGAATGCATGGCAGTTTCAAATCGAGTAAGTAAATGTTACATCATCAACGAATCTTCAATCCAAAACGAAATCGAAACTGATATTTACCTTCGCTAAATAAGCATGAAATAAAACTACAAATTTTCGTTTCCTGTTAATTGAGTCGTGTTTCTTCAACTTCTGATCACTCGCTAGTTGCTGTATCTTTATTTCACCATTTTGTACTTGGTTTATGTATTTATTATTTTGTACATTCAAAATGTTGAGTATTCTGTGCATTTTGTTTCCATTAGCGTAATGACACCACAAAAGCGCGTAGTTTCCGTTCCGTGAACAGACAACTTTTGGATCTTAGTTTCGTCTTCGACACTTGCTGATCAATTGAAGCAATCAGAACATGAAGCTATGAGATACATACTATGGCGCTCGTCTCAAATCGCATTTCTCGTGATCTGAATACTATACGAGCAAGAAATCAGATGTCATGTACTGTTTACTAAATTCTCTTTTCTCTTTAGCTTACCGTAAATTGAGGCCTCTCGGATTTTCTTGCAGCTCCTGACTGATACTCACTCCTACAAAATGTTCAGGAAGGAAAAAATATTGTCTCAGACACTATTCTAAAGCAAATGGAACGTATTTCAATTAAATAAACCTGAAATAACGGGATGAATTGGACGAAAGTCTTAATCGTGCTATTTCGTTCGTACCGACTGAGCAGCAGTGTCGTGATTTCAAAGATGACTTTGGCTATAAAATGGGGACAATTAACTACGAAATGCCCTTCTGGAGATTGGTAGTGTTTGTATGTTTCCGTCTAT